GAAAGGAAATAATCTTTCACCAGGATAATACATGCCTTTATCAGTTTGATTATGCAATAAAAATTAAAGAAATTGAATTTGGAAATTTTAGATCAGCAGTGACAATTCATCATCCAGTCCATATACCTTTTCAAAAAAATGGAAAGTTTTATATACTGCTAAATATCTATTAATTAAAAATATGTTCTATGTATGTATGTCTCTCTCTTTAATCCGACATTAAGTTCGGCAGACTATCATTACAGCTTTCAGGTTAGACACTTCTTTTATTCTTTCCAGATATGCATTTCGGACTTATATAAATGTTAAGTCCCTCTTCAGTGCAATACTACAAATTATTAAAAAAACATAATTAGTAACATGACAAAACTCTTTGCATGCAGGTCATATTTTCATATTTACTAACATAAAACTATCATACTTAAAAATTGTCACACTTATACGATACCTATGGTATCGTATAAGTGTGACAATTTTTAAGTATGATAGTACACTTATGACACTTATTAGATGACACTTATACGATACCTATGGTATCGTATAAGTGTCGTCTAAAAACCACGGTGTACAACAGGTAACATTGGAAAGATTTTAATACATTTTTACCATTAATACGGAAAACCTAATATATTAATAATTTTATAATTTTTTACTTTATAACATCATTATCTTGATAAAATAACAATATAACACGATACTCACTTTTAACATTTGCTCATAAAATCTTATATAAGTAAAAGAATGTGTATGTTCTAAAATATAACATTGCAGTAACTGCAATTATAATCATTTTACAGATAGCATAGTAATATAAAAACATTTTTTAAGAGATATATACACAATTTTACAATATACAGTAGAGCGTCGATTATCCGAATCAATTGGGGACTGGGGTTGTTCGGAAAATCAATGTTTCGGATAACCGATTGTGTACGAAAAAATATATTAATTTACCCCATCTTTACATTTTTCTCTGTTGAGTCTCGCTTTGCGTTGAATTTTCGTTGATTTTAAGCCTAACGAAGACTATTGTATCGTAAAAAAATAATTTTTTTATTTTGTATGAACAAAATAAATAGCCTATATTGAAAAGTATAAAAACAATAAAAAATTATACTTCAAAAGTTAATTTAGTATCAAAAACATAAAATATTTGAGTAGCCTAAGACATAGCCAAAGATTGCAGTGCCACAACACTGGCAAAAATTCAAATTTGCCGACTGGAATTCTTTCGGATAATTGACGTTTCGGATGATTGACTTTTGGATAATCGACGCTCTACTGTATTTCCAATTTTTTTCTGTCACTACATTATGATAAATACATTACAACCAATTTTTTTCATTAGTGCCACCTATTATATTATACCATTGTTGATCTATTTGCATACCATTTGATACATTGATTAAATTATCATCTTTAAATTTTATAATCTCAATATGTTCCTTAAATTTACATTTATACATATCTTTTACCAAATGAATTATTTTTATGTTATTTCTGTCTATTTGACAATTACTATTTTTTATATGGTTGAACCATGGAGAATTATTGTGTTTTAATCTAATTGCTGCTTCGTGTTCTTTAATTCTTAATTCCAACGTTCTACTAGTTTCACCTATATTATTTTTTGGTTCTTGGCAATTACAATTAATTTTATATACAACTCCTGATTTTTTTAATTTATCAACTTTCGTTTTATATTTATTATTATTATTATTATTATTATTATAAATATTACTTGAAATTTTAAAGAGACATACATACATAAAACATAATAACAGCTATTCAAAAGTGATATTTAGAATAATTAAAGAGACATTCATAGAGACATAATTAAAGAGACAAAAGACGGATTAAAGAGACATACATACATACATACATACATACATAGAACATAATAACAGCTATCCAAAAGTGATATTTAGAATAATTAAAAATAGTTAAAAATGTTGTAAAATAGTTTTAAATAGTTGCCCAATAATCATTGATCTTTAATTATTAATTTGCAATTTAAAGCACTCTGACACTTACTTTAGTAACAGACACAAAGTTTGTCAATAGAAAGGAAAGATTAAAGTAGCCCAACTTAGATATTTAAAAATATTTTTATATATTTAGAAATATATTAAAATGTTATAAAGTCTGTAAAAAAATTGAAGTTAGTAGTTTTTATGAACTTGGATCATTTTGAATTGCCTAGAGTTAAGTTAAAAAAATTGCTAATTTTTCAATCCTATTTACCTACCTTAGCACTTTCCAATTTTCATTTATTCACACCATTATAAAGTCATTTACCATATTTTTTGCCTTATAAAATGCTGCTGTATTTCATGCATCACATTCTTCACATCAATTTTTTAGGGAAATATTCTTCACAATATGATATTTAGCTTATAGGATGTATTCTAATTTTCAGATATAAAAAAGGTATCTTATAAGACAGTACATAGTAAAAGATTTTAAAGTTTTGAAAAAAATTTTTATTTTTTTTTTCAGATGGAAATGTCATATATATAATGAAAGATTTCCACTCCCAATTAACAGTATAACCCAGATACAAAATATAATACAAAAAAAAATACAAGTGTAAATAGAAAATAAAGAAAACATTTTAGAAAAAAGTTGATAAGATAACAAAAAGACCAAAAAATATTAAACACTAAGAATTATAAAGTATTCATTTACAAATGCATTTAAAATGACTAAAATCTTTGTGTAGTCATTAATGGCTTCATTGTAATGTTTTCTTTCCATAATTACAATTTGCTTGGTTTTATCTGCTTTTGTTAACACCAACTGATTTTTTGTTAGCCATTCTTTTGTATACCTTATACTTAACTGTTCGTTACTTTCATCTTTGTGTAGTAATTTTCAAAATCTATCATATTACAAGAGATGCAATAAAAGTATGATCTTTGAGAAATGTTTAGTCTATAAAAGGGAGTAAAAATACATTATGTGTTACACAGTTCCATTGAGAAATTCTTAAATATAGCCAATCCAAATGTACATTTCTGTTAAAATATTTATAGAAGTACAAACAGTTGAAGTATTTGATGTGCTCTTTAAAAATCAGAAAACCCAGTCTGGACCTGACAATGTTTGGATGATAAGTATGGGTAGATGCAGAGTAAATTTAAAGTTAAATTTTGTTGAGTTCTTTCATGATTTTATATGATATAATGATAATAAATATAATATACAATAATTTTTTGAGTCAAAACCAAATCATTTTTATGCAGCTGGAATAATAAACTTCAGGAAGAGTGAGATAAAGTAATTACAAATAGTGTAAATTTTATTGTTGATTAAATATATCTGTTTTATTTAAAAAGATCATTTTAGTTTTTTCTCAAAAACATTTTTTCCATTAAAAAAATAAATAAATAAAATTATTATATTTTTCTATTATACATAAGACATCATTAAATACAAACTGTAATATGTTACAAAATTGTGCTTTGATAAATATGTCCTTTACATCTGCAGATGATGTTTAAGAATATTAAATTGTTAAAACTTGAATATTAAATATTATAACTTAAAAAATCACAAAAATTTAAAAATTACAGACATAATTGAAACAATAACTGAAATATATTTCTTGGGAAGATCATTTTTTAACAACTATTAGCATTTCAAGATAATTTCAAAATAATAAAAATATAATATTTAGGTCTTATTTTAGTTACATAGATAAAAGTTTGTCAATAGAAAAGAAAGAAAATATGTTTGCTATTCTATAAATGACTGAATATAAGTATTTTATTCATATATATCAGGTATGGCCAAATTTTTATTCCTTAGGGGCTTTTTTGCTAAAATATAGTCTGCGGGCGACTATGAATATGGGAAAACAATTTTAGGATTTTTATATGCACATGCATTAACATTCATTTGCATTGTTCATTGGGATAAATACAAACAGTATGGGTACATTGCACAGACAGTCTATTGTAAGATAGCGGAAATTCTTATATTAGAAATAGTCTTTAATAATAACATTTCGCGAATTACGCAACAATTGTTGTTCTTAGCTACCTGAGAAAGTCTCCCGTTACATTTTCTCAAAAGCAACATGACGCTTTCTCGTGAACTATTAACCTGTGCACGGCCGAAATTGCTCGTGAATATCACCAGGGACGGCCGAAAAGAGTCAGTCGCCGCCGTTCCTCTGGATAGAAGTCGTCAGATAGCAACCGAACTTTGTTTTTGTGCCTCCTATTTGGATTATTTGCAACAGGATTTATTAAGTGCCAAAGAAACTTGAACGAACATCGTCGCTAGAACTTTGGATTAAGTCAAGAACTTGATTATCAATTATCAGCTATTCAAGAATCATCCAAACTCCAGGTATTTATCACCCCGCGAATCGTATGTGAACTCTTTCTCTCCGTGACAACACTTTATCCAATAGATTTTTAAATAAACCCTTGTTAATTGTTAAGTGTATCTGAGACACTTCCAATGTTGTCTCTCGAATCGACATTACGAATCCGTCTGACCACATACGGGACCGCTCGCGCGACAGCGTGACGTAATCGCCATCTCGGTTTCTGTGTTTTGAGAAACACGGTGGTGTCAATCCTGACAGGGTACCAAAGAGGTGCCGACCCGAAAGATCACACTATTATTGTAAGAATAAATTATCGAATTAAGATTTTTAAACATTAATTTAAGTGAAAGCAAATTGTTCAACTTTAGCTTCGCAGGCTACTTTCAAAACCTTTGTGGTCGATCGGTCGACTGCGGTCTATGTGTTGGCCATCCCTGATATATATAATAAAATGATTATTTATGAATAATGAGAATAAACTGTCTTCAGTGTTAATAACAAAACTGACTAAAAAACAATCAGACTTTACTTACAAATACTTTTGATAAATGTCATATTATCAAAAATATTTATGATTAAAATGTGATTTTTGAAGTCAATTTTCTTGTTAACACTGAAGTTTCTATAAAATTTTAAAATAAAAGTTTTAATAAATGCATACCAAATAACTTATGAATTGCTGTTGAAACAAGGCTCCGAGCACTTTTTTGGACCTCAACAAAATAGTAAGCAGCCTCCTTATGCACTTCACCGATAGAAGATCCTGGGAGAACATCATGAAATTGATTTAATAATAATATCTTCCAGAGACGTTCTATTTCAAGTTCAGGATAGGCTTTCTTTTCTTCATCTCTGCTTGCAGCCAAAAGAATACTGTGAAACAGTTCTGCATTACGGAGTAAAAATTCACATTCTCTGTTTAACTGTTTCATTTTTGCCTGGGTTGTGTAAGTGGCATTATGTAACTCCAAATATAATTCTCCAACCCAACGGCATAATTTTGATATATCATATTTTTCCACGTGGCTAAAAAAGCAGTCAGGTGTAGAATGCTTAACCCTAAAATGAAAACTTTTATTAAAGATTTCAATAAATTAAAAAAATTTCAAAAAAAAGCAAACAACTTTAAGCATAACTTAGGTATGTTACTGATAAAAGAATAATATAAATTTTTTGACAGTAAACTAAAAATAAAACATAATAAAACAAAACTGCAAATTATTATTCATAATTTATATTGGAAAAAAAATCATACTTTGTTTAAAATCTTTCTTCAGTTAATTTACACAGAGTACCAAAGATACAGATTTTAAATGGTAATAAATAAAAATACTGCATGTATTAAGAAAATATTCTTAATCTCTGCTTGCTAATTTAAAATATTACTCTAAATATATTAAATGTTTAATTAAAATTAGAAAAACTGTTAACCTATCCCATGTTATTCCTGACATATATTGGGGTTGTGACCTTTGACCCGCCAGGTTAAACCCAATATATCTCGTTACAGTATTGATACATTTTTTACCCTAGATGTCGCTACGCATCATAATTTTTATATTAAAATGAACTTTCGAAAAATAATTCTTTTTTGTTTTTACATTTTTCAAAATATTTTTGTTTGTTTGTACAAAATAAAAAAATAATTTTTAATGATACAACAGCCACAATTATAATTTAAAAAAAAAAAAAAAATTTTTTTGTTAGACAAAAATTCAACATAGCGGCACACACAACAAAGAGAAATTTCAACATGGGATGGGTTAAAGTCCACATTAGTTTAAAAAAAGAAAAGTTTTAATTTTTTGAAGTAATAATTCATTCTAATTTTCATTGTGTAAATCTGTGAATATGGTCACTGAAAAAACAATCTTGTAATTGAGAGCAAAACTTTGGATTTTGCTAGAGGTAACAAAGAAAAGTTAAAATTTTATTTTATCAAAATATATTTAGTGTAGAAAACAATATTTTATATATGAATTTTATTTTATTTTCAATTTTTACTGAGAATATTTCATAGAAAATTGTTAAAATTTGACCCTATAATTTCTCAATTTGTGTATCTCACTTAACATCTCAAAGAAAAACAATAATTTTTCAAACAAATTTTTAATCTTTCATGGTATTAAGGATATTTCTATTTACATGACAAAAGAAGTTATTTATGTAAAACTTGTAAATATAAAATAGTTCACAATTATAAATAAAATAAAAAAACATAAATCATTATAAAATTTTCCAAATTCTTATTCTTATGAGAACATTTTTCAAATCTAACTTTTTATAACAGAAGATTAAAAAATATAATCCATTACAGTAGTCCCGAAAACTCGGCCTAATGTGGACTGAAGGATGGTCGAGTTTGTGAAAATGCCGGGTTATCGAAAATGGGGTTAAAAAAGAATAAGTACGAGTGTTTCCTCAGAAAATACTGTACTGTACTTATATGTATTGTTTGCTTGATAATACAACAGAGAATAAACTGCCCAAATACCCTTAAATTAAACAAAGGAAAAGTACTATACGTACTGTACTTTATGAAGGCACAGAGCCTTTACTACATGAAAATGAAAATTTATGAATACACAGTGTATAGTAATTTATCTGATAAGACAGACCTCAGAAAAATACTTTTATGAGGCATAAAGCTGTCTATAATGAAAATTAACTAGCCGACTTTGCAAAAACTGGCTACTTATTTTAATGAAATGCGAATGTCCTGTTGTCTTCCGTAATGCACTCTGCCTTTTGCTGCTTCATCATGAAAACGACAAAGGAACAGTAAGTCCGTTACTGACGCACCTTGTTGTTCAAAATACTGAAGAGCGGTTTCGACAGCCTTTAGTCCCTCACTACGTGATATTTTAGGAGTTTCTACGGTGAAGTCCTCAACCTCAACGTCTTCATCATATTCCGATATTTTTTCATTAACTGTGACAACAGCAATAATTTCTGCATCGGACATAATGTCTTGCTCAGTATTGTTCTGGAACCACTGTTCGACATCATTTTCATCGGCTTCTGCACATCCAGGAACTCTTTTCAGGAGGTTGAGTAAGTTTACATTTTCTGCATCATCATGTTCAATAAACTCATTTCCCTTGTGATCAAGAAGTTTTTGCCAGGAACAAACTAGTGTTAATGACTCTAATTCGTTCCAGGCATCCACTACCCAGCCAACAACATCCAATAGGTTAATTTTGTTAAAGTTCTGGATAAGACCTTGACCATCATCGTTTGTAGAAAGAAGGGAGGATAACAGCTTGCGCAGAGTTATCCGGACTGCCAGGTTATTGGTGCCGAGTTTTCGGGACTCTACTGTATAACATTTATTATTATTGGATTTAGTGGGTTATACTCGGTTGATCAGTATTTGTTTTGGTACTGATTTGTCTGTAGAAAAGTTTTTCATTGTTTGTGAATAATTTATTTTGTTGTTTTCATAGTGTACATGTTTTGTATCGTTTGAGTCTATGTGCTTTGGCTGCGAGTTTTTGTTTTAGTGTAACGATGTATTCTGTAATGTATGTGTTGTGATGTTCATGTTTTGTGTGTGTTTTGATTTTCTTGAAAATGTTTTTGAGTTGTTTGTTTAATTTAGGTGTTATGTTGTTTTTAGTGTATTGTGTCAGCCTGCCTAATTGCTGTCTAATGTCATTTATTTGTGTTTCTATTCTTCTCTGCCAGGCAGGCTT